TGTATGTGTATCACACACAGATTATATAGTGTCCCCCAAAACCCATGTCTGCATAGAACCACAGAATGTCATCTGATCTGAAAGAGGGTCTTTGCAGTGTGATTATTAAGATGAGGCCATACTAGCGTGCGGGGCCTGGTCCAATGTCCTTAGAAGCAGAGAAGAGACTCAGACAAAGGGAAGACAGCCATGTGACGACCGAGGCACATACTGGAGTGACGTAGCTGCAGGCCAAGGAATGCCAAGGATTGCCAGCAACCACCAGAAGTCAGAAGAAGCAAAGATGGGTTGTTTCCAGAACCCTCTGACAGAGGATGCCCTGACTAGACCTAGAGTTTGGACTACTGGCCTCTCGCAGTTCAGATGTGAGAGAACACATTGCTGTTGTCTAAAGTCACCAAGTTTAGAGCCAGTCGGTGGCACTCCGCAGTTCAAGCCTCAGAGCCTGTGGCGCATGTGTGTGCGTGCCCTAAATCCTGAGAGGAGGATGGAGGAGAAGGGACTGTGGCGGCATGGCCCTCCCCTCTGGAGGGTGATTTCTGGCACTCGCTCTCTCTCTCTCTATCTCTCTCTCTTTCTCCCCCCCCACCCCCGGTGAGCACACTTACCCTATAGAAAAAAACAAATAAATAAATAAAGTAACCAAGTTTGTGGCAAATTGTTACAGCAGCCACAGAAAACTAATACAAGTAGTAAATAAGAATATTTACATCAATTCACAGTCAGTTGAATGTGTGCCTTATTCAAACACGAATTTTGCTTGCTCCAAACTTCAAATAGCCTAACTTGCTGCGTAAATGGTAGCAATCCAGTGGCGAATCCCCTGTCTATAGTAAACGTGCAAAAGGCAGGAAAACCAGGTATAGAAATAAAACACAACATAAGGACGTGGGTGTGCAGCTGAAGGGAAAGCAAAGCTGGGCGCGAACGCTTGCAGCACGCATCTGCGGTGCAGGGACGCGCTCTCCCTGCCACTGCGCCGTGAACTCCAGCAGGGCTAAGCACTTCCCCTTGAGCTCCTGAAAGGAATGAGCCCTTGGCGTCTCTCTGCCCTCTTCAGCTGGACTGTAGACTCTCGTCGTTTGAGGAAGTTCCAAGGAACAGGATGGAGCTATTCTGTCCTTTTCCCTCCTGTGGTACGTCTGCATGAGCATTTACGCCGCCTGCACCCCGGAACTCACGATGCTCAGTGAGCATCCCCAGCATCCTGCCCGCCGCCGGGCCTCCCACCCCAACTGCCAGACCGCGCGGTCAGGCTCCTGAGGGCAGCCATGGGTCTCCTCGGCCTCTTGGATGCGGCCTCCCAGACTCTGCGGGTAATATTCTCTATCCTTGACCTTTCATGCAGGGAGAAGATTGAGGAGCACAAAAGCAACTACAAGTAGCAAGAGAGTAGTCTTTTTCTGTTGCTGAAAGAGCCCTGCTGTGCCCACGTTCTAATCCTGCTGCTTATTCTACTCTGAGAATTAAGGCAGTAGGGTCTGCCCCATCTCTTTTTACCTGCAGAGTAAGAAGTGGTTTTTGTAACTTGCCTTCTTCATTAGTGTCTTCTATAAATGGGCATTGGCTTCAGGACCTAGTGTGTGCAGGGCATCGATTATCGGCATTTGATCCATCAGGATGACACTTATCTATTATATTAGGTGCCTAACATTTTTGCATATATGATCCATTGGAACTAATTCAGCTCCTTTCCCTTCCAGACACCGCGGTGTCTGCATAATTCAAACAGGAAGTCACGAAATGCCAAAGCAGATGACTGGGGAGACAGGTCATGGTGGAGCAGCACTGTGGTGTGGAATGTAGGCATGAAAAGTGGCCATCAAGAAGTAAATGTGAGCCAATAGATGGGCGGGAGGTTAAGGGGGCTGACTGGGTTCAAGCCCTGGACCTGGCAGTTTGAAAAACATGCCAGGCTTATGTGCACGCATGCCCCAAATCCTGATATCAGACTGGAAGAGAAAGGATTGTGATGTGGCCATCTCCTGTGGAGGGTGATTTTCCACTTCCTCTCTTTTTCTCTGTCTCTCTCTGTCACACATACACATGCCCACTAGCAAACTGAAAAGCCAAAAGAAAGAAAGAAAAGAAATCTAAATTATACCTGACTTTGTATTTAAGAGAACACGAGAACACCCTAGATGAAGCACTCCTGGTACTCTGACGTGGGAAAAGAGACAGAGCTGGTCCCGGCCCAGCGACGCCATATGTGGGGGGCTGCAGGTTGGGACGCGGTCCCCAAGTCCTCTCTGCTGCTCAGCACACGGGACTGCGGGCACGTGGTGAGCTGACTGGGAGAAGAGGGCGAGCGCTTCCAGTGGGCCACACTGCGCGCTTCCAGTGGGCCGCACTGCCTCCGGCTGAAGGCTGAGTCTGAACAGGAACATGAAGGAAGGACAGCATTGGGATGGGAGAGCAGAATGCAAGGCGTTGCTGAGTGAAGAACAGCATGCTCCGCGGGCCGAAAGTGAAATGAACAGCTTCGATTCACGTACATGGTCTAATCTCACTGAGATTCTATAAGAGGGATGTAAAAACAGACCAGAAAGGGAAAAAATGGGTCAGGCGGTATAAAGTCTTAAACTGAAAGATCACGAAGATTTGGGGGGTCTGTGGTTTTGAATTTTTGGTTATGAGGATTATCGGTGATTTTTACACAAGGGGGAATGACATACTCAAAACCCAGCTTTTTGTCCTTTTTTAAAAATTGCATGTTTTTAAGTTGCCAGTGATGTACGCACTTGCCAGAACGAGAGAATGAGGGGGGACGTGGTTATTCCTCAACCCCTTCCCCTCCGTTTCTCCAGCCTGTTGGGATTTGGGACACACGCACACACGCACCTAGTATGCTTTTCAAGACACTGGAGCTAGGATTTCAACTGTGGTCAGCTACGAGGGATCCAGCTCTTCTAACGCCTAGGCTACAGGGCCAGTCCTAAACTACAGCTTTAAAACTATTTTTTTCCATATTTATTCTTGAAAATTTTAGGGCCAAATTACATGGCAAAATACTAAAAAATAAACTAAAAAAAAAAAAAAAAAACTTAAAGGAAAAACTGAGGAAACAATGTCAAGTCCGAATGATGCCAGGAAGTGTCCCAGTGTGGAAGTGGTGGGCAGGGTAGATTGGGAAATGAAGACTAAGAGGATGGTGAGAAGATGGTCAGGTCCTGGCGAAGCAAGGGCACTGACTGGGGCTGAAATCACAGTGAGAAACAGGAAGAGACGAATTCAACAGGCACTCGGAAAGGAAGCGCCTGGATCCAACCACCAGGAAGGGAGCAGGGCAGGCGGGCCTGCCGGGTTCTCCTCGCGCCTGCTCTCGGTCACTTCTGTGTTAGTTTTCAGTGGTGTACTTGTAGCATTTCACTTGAACCGCTTCATTATTTTTTGTTCCACTTTTGGCTTAGGACTTAAGGCTGTGATTGTCCTGGAATGTCTGAGTCCACACCTCTGAACTGCCCAATGATCCCGTGTTGCCTGTACAGAGGGTCTTCAAACAGTTCATGGAAAATACATATTATAAAAAAAGGAAGAGATTTCAAAGTTTTTTTGCACCAAAGTAAACACATACCTTAATTCTATTTTTCACAAGCTTTTTAAAGTCCCTATAATTATGTTATTTATAAGTAAATAAATACAAATATGTAAGCGAATATAAATTTATATATATATATGTGTGTGTGTGTACTAATGAAGCAATTCAAGTAAAATACTACAAATACACCACTGAAAACTAACACACATATATAATGCATACATATGTCAATTTTTTGCCTCATTTCCTGTCAATTTTCTATTTAGAGTAAAGGCTACAAGGCCCAACACCGAAGACTCAGAATTTCAAACTGGAACCCGATTTTTCTCACTCCTCTGGCCTCAATAGTTTCAGTGTAGAAACCTGCCCACACTCAGTCTGTTCCCAAGCCTGGAGCCCACTCTCTTCCCTGTGGCTGAGACCAAATCATGAGAAACATAAACGCCCATCCAGCTGAGGCAGAGAGTCTTTCTGCAAATGCAGGACTGGCAAAGATCTAGAGAGCAAGGCTTCTCCCTGTGAAAGCCACACTCCCTTAAGCAAAGAGCTATTGTATTTCTGATAGAGAGCTCTCAGGAAGGAAGTCCCTGTGGGACCTGGGCTCAGACCTAAAAGGAACAGAGCCAGCCCAAGGATGGAGGAAGTTGCCTCTGGACTTACTCACACGTAGCACAAGGGAAAGCCCAATTTATCTAAATCTTTGTATTTTTTTTTTTTTCTGAGAGTTTGTTTTTGCCAAAGGGTGTGTGGTGGGTTAGCCATGCTGCAATCCCTTCTCCTCCATTCACCTCTCGGGATTTTGGACACACACACACATATGTGCCTGGTGTGAGTTTCAAGCCGCAGGGTCCGGGACCCGAACCACGGTCAAACACAGGGGAGAATCCAGTGCCTTAACCAGTACTTTACCTGCTGGCCGCTAAAGCTTTGTATTTTCTATGTTCTGTTCTGAAAATTTTTCACTCAGAAATTCTCTAAACTTAATTCCCTTTTGAAAATGTAGCACTACAATTTTAATACTGTAAGGAAACCAATATTTAAATAAACATCCCTACGATTTATGTAATCATTTCCGGTATTAAATTTTCAATCTTTTTGTGACTCAGAAAATATTGTATGAAGAAATTACAAGACATTTTATGAAGTTTAGCAGAAGAGTGTTTACTTAAGGATCAGTGAGTTGTACAGGGATCAGCAGGCCGTATGGTTAAGGTGCTGGACACTCCCACATGGCCAACCACAGTTCGAATCCTGGACCTGGCCGCTTGCTTTCTCACTCTCTCTCTCTTTCTCTTGTCAAATTAAAATAAATGAATGAATAAATAAAATTAAATTAAAAATTTTAAAAAAGAATCAGTGAGCTGTTTATGTGTGTGCACACGTGCACACACACACACACACACACACAGAATTATCCACAGTGCAACACGCTCCTCCAAAGTGCCACAGAGAGCAGCATTACCTCTCACAGGTGAAGACGGAAGCAGACGCAGCGCCAGGGTCTTGGACCACGACCTTGTCACAGTACCAGTACTGTGATCTGTCACTGGCCTCACAGCGCAACAGCACCTTCTGCAGTTTTCCAAGGGACACTGCTTCTACTTGAAATTTATCAACCTGGAGCAGGAGACAGAGAAAAAACAAAACCCGCAGAAATTCTAGAGTCCAGCGCAAGACAGATGCAGGCAATACTAACAGCCAGAGCATTGCCAGAGGCAGCACAAAACTTTACCAGAGATAATCCTGCCACCGTTAGCATCAGAAGGGGTAATAAAGAAAGCAAAATTAGCAAATTACTTTTTTATCTATTAATAATATATTTCTGGCTACTTTTTTTTTGTTGTTGTTCTTGCAGTTTTATTTTCTCCATTTGTAATAGCATCCAGTCTATCAATGAAACCAGCCCACCCTAACAGAGAGGCTTTCTGCCTGCAGCTGCTCTCGCCCTGAGAGCAGTTCGTTAGGTGGCCAGGCTGACAGCCACACGGCCTCACGCTGCACTTCTTGCCACGAAGGCGAATGTTTCAAGGCATGTGACAAGATTTCTCCCTCCCTCTCTCCTTCCTTCCTTTCTTCAATAAATCCTTCTCCAGCTCCCTCCTTGTAAATAAAGACAGAACATTTCCTGGGACTTGTTGTAAAAGAGCATCCTGGAATCCTCATTTCCAAATAGAATCAATAGATTCAGTTTGTCATGTCAAAAACGCACTGAGATTTCAGAGACGTCGGACTTGAAGGAAATGCCATACTTAATGGGATAAAACGAACTCCTTCACGAATTACTTCCTTAGAGGTTGTTGTTGAAAATAACCATTCCAGAATTATCTCAGGAGCAGGTCATGAATGTAATTAAGTTGAAGAAGTTCACACAAATCACAGCTGTCAGCCACTCTGGCTCTCCTTCGCAGTGAAAAAGTGCATTTGAGATTGCTCATGCAGTCTGCATGGGATGGGAATCGCTGGTTGCATTCTTACCAGGCTGTTTCAACTTAACATTTGAAGATAAACTACCCAAGTCTTCCCTGTTGGTTTTACATCGTTGATGGAAATCTCTTGTCCAGGCCAGAGCAAAACCATTACCAGTCCAATTTCAGTACCCGGAGGATGGCTGCCTGTGCGTCTTCCCAGCGTGCCAGGCTGGCCTGATCGTCGGTGCCCCGCACTCCTGGTGGGCCTTTACAAGACACCGCAGGGTGCGCATCACGTGGCTGATGCCCACCCTGTGTCCTCAGGGTCCAATTCGGGACTGCCTGCTACTTCGGTAGACAGTGTAGGGATACTGACAACTCTTCTCCATCCCCTTGTCTCTTGCTTCTTTGCCTGAGGAGTTCTCCTAGTGAGGCAATTGTGAGGGATGTTCCAGAGTTTCTCTGACGGGTTATAAAAGCAAGAAGGAGCCCGAGCAGGAGCAGCTCAGCAAAGTCTCTATACTGGTTTTTCTCTCTTTCCTGCTTCGTCGTCCCCACCCCTCAATTCCCAGGTGCTTTCTGAGATCATCTTCCAGATAAATTACCTGCCCCCAAATCTTTGTCTCAGTCTGCGTTGGGGGGAACTCCATACCATAATACTTTGAGATCTAAAAAGAGTACCTGAATCACCTCACTGCTATCTTCGAGCCACGGTAGATTTGAAGACAGAAATAAACTGAGCCTGATTACTCCCCTGGACTCCTTACAGAGAAAATGGCAACCGGCAGCCTAATCAGTGGCTTATGCTATGATTCATGGCCAGTTTAAAGTCATTGTGATGATAACGTTCCTACATTGTTACCAGCTTCTTCACTACAGAACTTAACATTGTTTGGCATTTCCATACGTGAGGAAAATAACAGAAAAATGTGAAATATAAAATCTCAAGTGGACCAGAGAAGAAACGCACTTTGTGTCTCTGATTCGAAACATTAAACCCGGACTTTTACTCTTCTGTGCACACCTACTGCAGTTACACCTCTCACTCAGTTCAAACTTGAGCCCATACACACCCACCCCACTCTCTGGTAAATGCTAGTCACAACAATTGAAGATCAATCATGAAGATGACATGGGAATCTCAGCGGGCCGTTTCACAAGATGTCACTCTGCTGAGAAGTGGCGCGTGCTGGCTGGCCAGCTGGAGACAGCCGGGAGGGAGGAAGCCTTCACCACACCATAAAGTGGAAGGTGAGAGGGGCCAGCGGTGGTGTGATGGTTAAACACTGGACTCCCACATGGAAAACGGTGGTTTGAGTCCCATACCTGGCAGCTTGACACTCAGGCTGAGCACATGTGAGTGCTTGCCCCAAATCCCAGGAGGGCACTGGAGAACGGACTGTGGTGTGGCCATCCCCTCTGAGGGATGATTTCTTACTTTCACTTTCACTTTCACTGTCTCTCTCTGACTCTCCCATGAGCACGTGCACCCTATAGCGTGGACCTTCACTTTCACTTTCACGTGTGTGTGTGTATGTGTGTGTGTGTGTGTGTGGACAGTGAGAGAGGGGGGCTGATGCAAAGCCAGTGGGGCTCTTCAGGGGATAACGTCACTGATCATGTAACAGTAACACGATGGTCTTTAACATGCTGTTTCTGTTCAAAATTAAGAATTCACTTGTGACAGCCAAAGTAAGTGGCATACTTTTGTTTTTGTCTCACCCAAAGCAGGATTAGCTTTCCTATTCATTCCGATGAAAGCTTTTTTGCAGTTGGCAGCAACAAATAAAAGGTGCAGATGAGTCCCACGAGCTTTGAGGTTTCATGGTATTTCACAAAGCTTAACAGAAGTGTCAGAGAAACATCACTCTCAAACTAGTGTGAGAAGCTCATCTTTCTTAAAAATATTCCTCTGGGCTTCATAATCCCCAAACTTAACTTCAGACCCCCCAAATAGTGTCTTCACTTCATAAACAACAAAATAACATTAAAAGCAGCCAGGCCGAGAAGTATCCACTGCAACTGCTCAAACACGTAAAGAACAAAAGAGAGAAGTGAGGGGTTTCAGGTGTGAAGACAATACTGTGGGCGCCACTGAAGCTGCCTCAAACATCGTGTTCTTATAGGAAATGCGTAATTGTCCTTCTATAGCTCGAGCTTTTAGAATGAAGTTTGGTGCCTCTCCATTCTGACAGAGCATACATACATGTATTTTCCAAGATCTTCTCAACTTATTTTTAAGATTCTTCTTAGGCTATCACTCATTTCATGCTTTTATCTTTGTTCTATTATTCAAGATTGGTTTCATGTATCCCATATTTTTTTCAACAACAACTTCAAAAATTAAGCATATTCTAAAGTCTGGATCAGGAAAACAATGTTAAAGATGTCTTAAAACTGGGGCCAGCAGGAGGGATGGTGGCCGGAATGCTGGACTTGCACATGGCTGATCACAGTTCGAGTCCCAGACCTGGTGCTTTGCTTTCCCAGTTTCCCTCTTTCTCTCTCTGTCTCTGATAAGCACAAATGCCCTGTAGCAAACTTTAAAATAATAATAATAATAAATTAATTAAATAAATAACTTTTTAAGAAAGGTGTCCTAAAACTGGAAGAGGATTAAACACCTTTGACATTTTAAACCCTGCATGGCCATCTTCAGAGAGACGGCTAAGAACCTGGAAGCTGTTCACACACTCACCTGCCCTCTTCGGAATTTTACCGGCATGTTAGATTTGTGCAGCAGCCGAAGGCCAGAGTCTCCCCGCTGCCCGTAGAGACAGAGGGAAACGTCAGATTCTGTCTCTGCTTGCTTCAGCTGCCCAGTGTAGACATAAACATGGTATATCACTACTGGCAAAGCAATGGAGGAGAAAAGAAGAAAGTCACTGCCTTAGAGTTCATATGAACAGAACCCGACCCATGGGCCCTCCGGCCATCATGAAAAAAATTAATATGAGAACTCGTCTTATCTGGGCTCCCTGTGTCTAATGAGACTCTTGATTCTCCAATTATTCACCTTAATTTATGAATGGGGCATTTTTAGATCATGAACAAATGTTATAAAGCAGGTTTATAGCTCCTTCAGGAAGAGAAGTAAAAGAATTTTTAAAGGCTTTTCAAGCCGGCATGGTGTTTAATGTGGCTGGATCCCATATGGCAACTGCAGTCCTAAACCCAGTGAACTGGAGAGAAAAAAAAAAAAAAAAAAAACCCAGGCTTGCATGTGCCCAAAAATCTGGAGAGGAGAATAGAGAAGGGATTGCAGCATGACCATCCCTCCTGAAGGGTACTTCCTCACTTGCCCCTCCTCTCTGTCTCTCTGGTAAGCACATACCTCATAGCAAAATTATTTTAAAATTTTCTTTTCTTGGACCAGCAGGTGGCAGGGAGGTTAAGGTGCTGAATCCCATATGGCCGACTATGCAGTTTGAGTACTGGATCCAGTAGCTTGAAAATCATGCCAGGCTCATGTGTGGGCATGTCCAAAATCCTGAGAGGAGACTGAAGGAGAAGGGATTGCAGCCACCACCACCCCCAAAAAGTGATTTCTCACTTTATCTCCCTCTCTGTCTCTGTCTCTTTTGGCAAACACACATGCAATATTGCAAAAAAAAACTAAAACAAACAAAAAAGAAGACTTTTCTTTTATATATGACATAGTAAGGCATTTTATGCTTATTATAGTGGCCAGGGTGAAAACGTTGTTGTACGTGACACTTAAGTGTAGAATGATGTACAGTATGATGAGAGAATAGATGAAAAGTGAAGTGATGGCATGAGGCAGCCAACTTGCCTGGGAAAGCCAGAGGAGGGACAGCCACATCCCTTCTGATCACTCACAGCCTCAGCCTCTGTGCCTGGAGCTGGACCACGGGAGCCATTTGGAAATTACACTCAACACAAAAGTCCCAGTGACTCATCCTGTGATCATAAAAAGTCGCTTCTCAATGGGCAAGACAACTCTCTCAGAAGTAGGAAACTACAGACCTATATCCCTGATGAATATAGATTCAAAAATTCTCAACAAGATACTTGCTAACCATATTCAACAGCATATAAAAAAGATTACTCATCACCATCAGGTAGGATTTATTCCACGAATGCAAGGGTAGTTCAACATATGCAAAACCAGAAATGTAATACACCATATTAACACCATAAATGTAATACACCATATTATAAAAGAAAGAAAGATAAAAACCATATGATCATTTCAATCAGAAAAAACATTTGACAAAATACAACATTCCTTCATGATTAAGACTGTCAATAAAATCGGCATAGAAGGATCATTTCTCATCATAATAAAAGCCATCTATGAAAAAGCTACAGCTAACATTATACTGAATGGGGGAAAGCCGAAAGCTTTTCCACTAAAAAAAAAAATAGTACAAGACAAGGCTGCCCACTCTCTCCACTCTTATTCAATATAGTAATAGAAGTCCTAGCCAATGCGATCAGATGAGAGAATGAAATAAAAGGCATTCCAATAGGAAGAATTGAAATTATCCCTGTTTGCAGACAACATAATTGTACACATAGAAGACCCAATAGTACCCATGAAAAAACTTCTTGATGTAATAAATGCATACAGTAAAGTTGCAGGATACAAAATAACTTATAAAAATCTATAGCATTTCCATATACAAACAGCAAGCAGAAATAGAATTGAAGAAAGTAATCCCATTTACCATAGTCACAAAAAATATAAGATACCTAGGAATAAAACTAACCAAGGAAGTCAAAGACCTCTAGAAGGAAAACTATGAAAATCTTTAAAAAGGACATCCCATATTCCTGGATTGGGACAATTAATATAATCAAAATGGCAATCCTACCCAAATTAATCTACATATTTAATCCAATCCCTATAAAATTACAAGAGACATTCTACACAGATCTAGAAAAGACAACCATAGAATTTGTCTGGAACCACTAAAGACCCCATATTGCCAAAGCAATCTTACACAAAAAGAATGGAGTGGGTGGCTCACTTCCTGACCCCAAAATGTATTACAAAACTGTGATAGTCAAAACAGCATGGTATTGGCACAAAAACATATAGGAGGACCAATGGAACAGAGACACCAGAAATAAACTCCAAAACATACAGCCAGCTGATCTTTGACAAAAGGTACCAGTCAACCTGGTGGGAAAAGGAAAACCTCTTTAGCAAATGGTGCTGGAAAAACTGGGTATCTACATGTAGAAAGGTGAATCTGAATCCCTGTCACCATTAACCAAAAAATCCCTCAAAGTTGATCAAAGATCTAAACCTAAGACTGAAAACTATAAAACTACTGGTAGAAAACACTGGCAAAACCCTAAGAGACACTGGGGTAGGCAAAGACTTCTTAAATAAGACCCCCAAAGCACAGGCAATAATCCCAAAAATAGACAAGTGGGATTACATCAGGTTAAAAATTTCTGCACGGTGGAAGACACAGTAACTAGTGTGAATCGACAACCCTCAGAATGGGAGAATATTTTTGATAACTATGCTTCAGATAAGAAACTAATAATCAGAATACACAGGGAACCCAAGAGGCTTACTCCCCCAAAAATGATCACCCCAATTAAAAGATGGAAAAATGAGCAGGGGGAAAAACACAACTCTCTAAAGAAGACATACTATCAGCCAAAAGGCAATAAAATGCTCAACATCCCCCATCATAAGGGAGATGCAGATCAAAATCACAATGAGGGAGCCAGCAGTTGGCATAATGGCTATGTCGCTTGACTCCCACGTAGTCGACCGCGGTTCGTGTCCCGGACCCGGTGGCTTAAAACTCATGCCGGGCGCGTGTGCGTGCGTGCCCAGGATCCCGAGAGGAGAATGGAGGAGAAGGGATTGCGGCGTGACCATCCCCCCTGGGGGGTGATTTCTTGCTTTCTGTCTCTATGTCTCTCTCTGTCTGTCTGGTGAGCGCACACGCCCTACAGTGAAAATCTCTCAAAAAAAAAAATCACAATGAGATACCACCTAACCCCAGTCAGAATGTGAAAGATTAAAAAAAAAAAAATAGTAAGTGCTGGCAAGGATGTAGTGGAAGGGGAACTCTCCTACATTGTTGTCAGGAATGTAAATTGGTCCAGTCACTGTGGAGAACAATATGGAGGTTCCTCAAAGACCTTCAAATAGAACTACCATATAATCCAGCAATTCCACTCCTGAGTATCTACCTAAAGGACAGGAGAACACTCAGTTGGAAAAGCGCTTGCATGACTCTACTTATTGTGGATTGCTAAGACATGGAACCAACCCAAATCCACAAACAGGTGAATGGATTGTAAAAGTGTGGCACATATACTCCATGGAATACTATTCAGCCATAAGAAACAACAAGACCCTGGTGTTTGATAGAAAGTGGATGAACATGGAAGATTTATTGCTGAGTGAAGCAAGTCAGGCTATGAAAGAGCGACTTTGTATGTCTCCACTTAACATATACCGAATGTCTACAATCTATGGAGGAGACTGAAAGACTGGAGGACACAAAAGCATTGAAAATTGTTATGAACACTAGGGACAAAGTGGAAGGAGAGTGGGAGAGGGGAAGAGTGCAGGAAGGGAAATTTGGAGAAAAATGGAGAAGACATTTGTGGGATATAGATACGGTTTGTTGCCTGTGGATGATGTCGTGTATAGTATTCTCAACTCACCTGGTGTGTGGCATATATCATGTTGGGTAAAATCTCTTTACAATCTAAGTGATTAAATGTATAAATAATAATTTTTTAAAAGTAGGAAAATATTCTGTAACTAAATGGTTCAGAGGTAAATGTGAGCAACTATACAAAACTGTATAGACAGTGTATGATGCTGAAGATAGTAACACACATGGAAAGATAGCTTGTCCTTCTTTCACTACAGGAAGCTCACAGACGACATCCCCGTGTGCTTGGTTCCGAGAAAGCCACACGTTTGCTGCAAAATCTAGGATCTTCTTGCTTTTCATATGTTGCATGGTCACCTGGGATTAGAAGAAACAATGGCCAGATGGTGTGATTTCGAGTTTTTCAAATAAGTCAGAATTCAAAATGCACACATGGGATTATTAAAATGTGCTGAATATTCCAGCAACAGTGGTGGTGGTTAGAGCAGTAGTATTACTAGCAGCTGTGTTTTCTTTGGCAATAATATTTGCCACATATGGGACCAGCAGTTAGTGTAATGGCTATGTCACTGGACACCCATGTAGTCGACCGTGGTTCGCGTCCCAGACCTGGTGGCTTAAAACTCATGGTGGGCGTGTGTGCGTGTGTGCCCTAGATCCCGAGAGGAGAATAGAGGAGAAGGGGGGTGATTTCTCGCTGTCTCTCTGTCTCTGTCTGTCTGGCGAGCGCACATGCCCTATCGCAAAAACCTCTCAAAAAAAAATATTTGCCACATATTATTCTAAGTGACTTATTTTAATTATCTTTCAATCATCACTAACTAGATTGGTAAAATTCCTACAGCTTTATAGGTAGGAAAATGAAGTCTTGGAGATGTGAAATCAGCTCTGTATTATTCAAAGTTCTCAACTTTGCCTATATTCGTGACCTAAAGTCACTATCGGAAGAACTCCAGAAGAGAATTTATGTTCATATTAGTTACAAAGCAAGTCATACAGAAGAACTTTTTTAAAGATTTCTAATGCCTATTAAGTTTAATTATTCATTTCTTAATAGAGAAGTACTCTCAACAGGATACATGCGCCTGGTGTGTACAGATCAACCTGGGATAACACCTCTGTCTTCCACATGGCTTCTAGCACTGCAGAGTATTGTATGACTGCTGTGCCCAATGGCTGGGTCTCTACAGCCTGTCAAGCATATTTAGAACACCTGGAGGCTGTGAATGAGCCTTTGGCTACTGTAGCGACTGAGCCGGCATTTCCCGGCATGAAGTCAGTTGCCTTTGCCTCCCTGCCCATTGATTTCTCAATGACCCTGACCTAGCTCTCCCTCTCATGGTGGCCCTTTCACAAAGGCTTTCTTGATTTTACCCTCCCCTTCACATCTCAGTGGACTAGCAGAGAACTTCCTGAAGGAATTTCACAGTTGCTTGCTTTCTCTCCTCTTACAATAGATGGAATGTCCTTCTCCTTGGCATGGTGGTGAAGGCAGCTGATTCCCACTTAGCCAAATGCATAGGTTGAGTCCTGGACCCAGCAGTTTGAAAAACGCACCAGGTACATGTGCATGTGTGCCCAAAATCCTGAAAGGAGAAATGGAAGAGAAGAGATTGCAGCATTATCATCCCTCCTGAGGGAGATGTTTTATCTTTATCTTTCTCTCTCTCTCTCTCTCTCTCTCTATATATATATATATATATATATATATGTATATGTATATATATATGTGTGTGTATACATATATATTTCCAATAAGCACACATATACTTTTTAAAAGGCAAGTTTTCAAAAAAGAAAATATACCAATTAATCTAAATTAATCCATCTCTGCCATGGTTTGAATGTGTCCCCCACAACATTCACATGTTGAAATTTACTGACTATTGTGATGGTTTTAAGAGGGTGGAAACTTAATCCAACTATAGTACTAATACATAGGGCATTTGGGAAGTATGAGTCAAAGTTCTCAACTTCATCAATGGTCACGACTGAAAGTCATCTAGAGGAAGAACTCCAAAAGACATTCTAGCTTCATATTAGTTACCAAAAAAGTTATATGGCAGAACTCTTTTAAAAGATTTCTAGTGTATCAAGTTTATTTATTCATTTTTTAAAAGAGGGAAAAGCACTCTCAATAGGCTTCATGCATCTGGTATGTACCCTAATTAGGGTTGGATAAAGAAATCAGAGTGAGGGTCCCCATGACTGAATACTGGTGGCTTTATAGAGGGAGAGAGACCAGAGCTGACACACACTATTGCCCCCTTACCGTGTGATGCCCTACGCCACCTTGGGACTCTGCAGTGAGTACCCACTGACATGAAAGACTTCACCAGATGCAGCCCCTCATCCTTGAACTACTAAAACCATAGCTGAATAAATCTTTCTTCTTTTTTCTTTTAAGAGAGAGATTTTTGCTATAGGGCAAGTGCACTCACTAGAGAGACAGAGAGAGACAAACAGAAAGCAAAAAATCACCACCCCAGGGGGGATGGCCACACCACAATCCCTTCTCCATTCTCCTCTTGGGATTTTGGGCATGCACACACATGAGCCTGGCATGAATTTTAAGCTGCCAGATCTGGGACTCAAACCACGGTCAACTATGTGGGAAGAGTCCAGCAATGTAACCATTATACCATCTGTTGGCCCCAACCTTTACTCTTAATAAATTATCCTGTTGGGACCAGCAGTTAGTGTTATGGCTATGTCACTGGACTCCTATGTAGTCAACCACGGTTCAAGTCCCGGACCTGGTGGCTTAAACTCACACCGGGCTCACATGCGTGCATGCCCAAGATCCCGAAAGGAGAATGGAGGAGAAGGGATTGCGTCATGGCCATCCTGGGGGGTGATTTCTCGATTTCTGTCTCTCTGTCTCTCTCTGTCTTTCTGGCGAGCGTATGTGCCCTATAGCGAAACACTCCCCCCCCAAAAAAAATACTATTCTTCCTCAATTTCTTTGCCTCCTGGAGCATGTGCCACCATTTCTCAGGTGGCCTATTCTCTGAAGCCCCTGCTCTGACTCACAGTCTTCCATTCTTGCTCCCTTGAGCCCTGCCTTTAGGTTATTTCAAGAGAGGATAATCTAAAATAGAAATTGGGGGTCATTTTGTTCATTGCCCACAACTTTTCAATAGTCCCACCCATTGTATAAAATCCTAAATTCTCAACTCAACAAGCAGTACATGATCAGCTTATAATCTTGTTAGATATGTCTCCTTCACACCCTACATTCTAACTATAGAAATCTGTTCTTGGTTTCACTACCTGGCCATATTCCTCCCATCTCAGAGTTTTCACAAACACTTGAATCTGTGCTTAGAGCAGCTTTCATCTGACTCATTACTGATAGGGGCCTGCCCATCCATCACACAGCTTAGACACAACCTCCTCTAAGTATACTGTGAGCCCTCAATCAGGCGAGGAAGCACTGCTTCAGGGTCACAGTAGCCTACGCATCCACATCACCTAAAATCTGACTGGCTTGAGGGAACCAAGACCTACTCATCTTGTTACTCCACGCGTTTTCACAAGGTAGTCCTTGGGCTGTTTGTGCTATGGATGATCAAATGCATAACTAAGTAAAACATATTGGTCAACAGAGGTGATGAGACTCCACCAGCCCATCTGATAACGAATGCCTGACTACAGCTTTCCTTGCTCCAGGCACGAGGCCATGCAAAGAACTCTGGATTTGAAGTGAGGAAAACTGTGATCAACATCTAGACCTAGCACTTCCCAACTATGAGGAATTCACATAACCACTCTGAATATCAGTTTTCTCCCTTTAAAATAGGAATAATGACCATCTTACATAGTTATGGTAGAGATTAGATGAGTTTATGTATATGAAATACATAAAACAAAACTTCATATAAACTACTTGAATATTTCATACTTACATTAGTCAAATTTGTATGTGCATGCATACATAAATATAAAAGAGGTTAATACAATAAATTCTACTAAACTTAGAGATGTCCCCTCTCTCTCTAGACTATATCATGGTTTATTTTGAAAGCATTTAGGGGGAAAATTCAGGAGACTGAAAATTCATGATACATTCATACGGGTTTTAGTCTCACTCAGATACTATGCTCAAATAAGAGTATTTGGAGCCGTCTACCCAATAAGAAATTTTGATTATTACAATTCCTGAGGTCTGTAACCTGGGTTCCTTACTTGAAAGGTGTAGTGGTGGATGCGCTGAAGAAGAATGATCCACACCCTACCACAGCAGCCCGATTTGCAAGCCCTCTTGCTGAGGTATCAGCCATGAGTGGGGTGTTTAGTCCTTTGTATTTCCTTTCCTGGAGACTGTTATCATATTTACTACATTGCTTTATTTTGGGCAAAAAGAAGTAAGTTTGTCCCTTAATTATACATAGGGACATACTCCTGAAGAGTCAGCCTATAAGAGAAAGGCTAATCCAGGGTGCCAGAAACACATGATGGCTCTCAGAATGGGCCCACAGAACCCGACCTCGCCACTGGTGGTGCTGCATGTGCTTAGGAGTCAGACTGCCTCCCCACAGCAATAGTCTGTACACTGCTGTGCTCAGGTTATATTGGCATACCAGGGCATTAAACCACCCTCCCCCCAAAAAAGGGAGATTTAATAAGTTATCTCTAAGTATAGGCTCAAAATATTTAAATAACATGAGAACACATTACAGCAGCATATTAAAAAACACTATTAATACAGACTAAGTTCTGTGGGGATTCAGAGTAATGCAAATATTAGGAAATTGTAATATTTTTTTTTTTGGAGAGGTTTTCGCTATAGGGCGCGTGCGCTCGCCAGACAGACAGAGAGCGACAGAGAGACAGAAAGCAAGAAATCACCACCCAGAGGGGATGGCCATGCTGCAATCCCTTCTCCTCCAATCTCCTCTCGGGATCTTGAGCACGCACGCACACGCGCCCAGCGTGAGTTTTAAGCCACCAGGTCCGGGACGTGAACCGTGGTCGATCACATGGGAGTCCAGCGACATAGCCATTACACTAACTCCTGGTTCCCAATATCTTTTTAATTAAGTTTATCTATTTATTTACTTACTTACTTACTTATTCAGAGAGAGAAAGAGAAAGACCAGCAAGCACTCTAGACAAGGTCTTCTGCAGTGGCCTCCCCCACCCCTGAGCTTTTCTGCCAGCCAGGACCACAGAATGTATACACATCTTTATGTGCAGGTTGACCTGGGAACTGAACCCAGGTCTTCCATTTGGTGTCCACCATTGTGGAGCGTTCACTACCTTTGTACCACAGTGGCTTGGCCAAGAATAATTTCAGATGTGACCAGATGTTTCAGATAAGTGGGGATCATACACCGGTGGACAGGAGTCTTTTA